CCTGGTGCTAAATATATTCCTTGGTTCTAGATTTTTCAGCGAACAGTACGATCAATACCAGTGCGTCTAGCAGCCTGAAAAATCTAGAACCACCTGAAAAATCCGCTAAAATCAAGTGCTTCGTTAACGGGCGTGTTTTCGGATGCCTCAAATCGCGTGACCAATCAGAAAATGAACAATCCGCCTCCAATGCTTTTACATACAACACTCCAAAAATGCATTTTTTCGTGGATGGTCCATTTTTTGATGGGTTGATCGCTTCTCCTAAACTGCCATGCCAAGAAAAAACGCCACAAGAGCCTGCAGGCGTTGCCAAATTTCCTTCGGTAAATCACGAACTTTTGGGAAAATTCGTAAATATTTTTCCTCCAATTTTCAGAAAGTTTTGTTCGCAATTTCGCCAGAAGTTCCTGAAAATCTTAAGGAAAATATCCGTAACTTTCCACAAAATTAAACATTTTATCGAAGGCAATTCTGCAACTCTCGAATGTTCATACGGCATTCTTCCTTAGCACGATTGTGAGAGACGGGAATATGAGTACTCGCTTTTACTCATAGAGTACACAGAGTCGTAATGTAAGTGTAAGAGCTGGCGCCATGTTCTGCTCGACGAGTTCCGAGCCCGGTGTGCGGGGTCATTTTTTCGATTCATATTCGATCCAAAACTGCGGTGTGGAACATGGCGGGGTCCCCGTGTATCGCAAACAATCGATTATATATCGAAAAAGGGACCCGGCGTCGCACAGGAATCTCGGAATTCGGGACCTGGAAAATGCTTACAAGTGGCGTCAGCTCTCCCTCTTGCATTACGACTCTATGTGCTCTATGCTTTTAATTTACCCTAGGTTTGACGGCCACAGTAATGTTCTACACTCGATTCTCTAGGATATTCCCTCTGGGCTGGTAGCGGCTATTCGGCGGGGTGACTCAAACCGGCGGCGCTCCGAAGTGACGAGTCGTTGACAACTCGGGTGACTCAAGCCCGCGACGCTGACCGCGCGCGGGTGAACAGCGGCGGCGGCGGCGCGACGCTCGTGGACCGCAGAGTCGGAGCAGGTGGCGACTCATCTCGGTCCCGCGATCTCCAGCGCAGCGTCCATCTCCGGATTTCGCACGTGTGCCCGGCGAGGCCTTCTCTGAATCCGGAAATCCTATCCCCGACAGTTCTGTCTTCCCCAGAAACTCCGCTCGAGTCGTTGGATTTAAATAGAAATCCATGCGACTAGGCTAGTCTAGAATACCTTCATTGGGAAAGTATGAGTATTATGCCGCACTGAGGAAGAACGCAGTATGAACATTTGAGAGTTGTTCAATTTCCCAGGGTAAAAAGTGTATTTTGGACGAAGTTACTGCCGATTTTATCTTAAAATTTGCACATATTTTAGATTAGATTTCGGACAGAGTTGTCCGACACTGAAAAAGAATTCTCGGCGTTTTTACCAAGATCCGTTGGTACCTTTACATCTCACTTTTTTTTACCAACTATTGATAATATTACCAAGACAGACTAGTAAGCTTACCTAAAAACCGGTATTTTTACTGTTTTTTTCAGGTAAGAATATCACTTTATTGGTAATCAATTCCCGGTCTTTTTGCCATTTTATCTCGGTAATTCCACCACAGTCGACAAAAAATATTGGCGTTTTTACCAAGGTCCAGTAAAATTACCGAGAAAGTTCAATAATTTTACCGAGATTTCTCGGTAAAATTACCAATTCCTTAAATGGTAATGTCACCAAGAAAAAGCTGGGATCAAATAGAACTCTGAATTCTTGGTAATTTTACCCTTTTCTTAGTAAATACACCGAGATTTTTTTTTTCAGTGGAAAGTTTAGTAAGTTTAGGGGACGATCAGCTCATGCTCAAAGCTTCCGGGCCAGTTCGCCTCTGAATGGAAGGTGACGGAAAAAACTGTGCTCATTTTTGCATTCCACAGCAAAATATGAGTGATTGTAGCCTCGTTAAACATCTATTTTTGATAATTTACTCGTCCTTCCAGAAGCAAAATAGGAAAATAAAGAAGAATCGTTCTTATATCATGGGGAACATGGGCGGATTGTATCATTTGATCCGTAAAAATTCGATGGCTGACGCAACAGGAAACATTTCGTGGGCATATATTTATGCTTTCCTACTTCACTGAGTTCGAAAATGAGCTTTTCTTATCTCTCTACCATGCATAAATTTCGCAATCAATCAAATTTTCCTCCGAAAAGCCGATTTGTAAAGGAAAATCTCAACTTTCTAGAAGACTGAGGTATTTTTCGGACTCAACGCTAAAAATCACGCAGGATTCTGCTATCAAACCACAGCATTTTTTCGGTGAGGACTTTTGCTATCAACTTTTATTTATAAGATGGCTAAATCTACGGCTAGCGAGTGGCACAACTAAGCAAAGCCTCTACCAAGGCTCTCAACTATGAAGGAAAGCTTTCGGCTAGAGAAACTTACAGAATGCGCTAACCAACACATAGTCAACAGCTAAAAAGAAAATAACAGCGAGTGCTGCTCACAGTGAGAACGTATGTATTCCTTAAGAGTTTAATCTTTTTTTTTCTCGGAATTCACATTTTTCACGCACTTTTAATTATGAGTTTGTTTTTTCTTTTCTTCTTGCATCAAGTAGCGATATTATCTTTAATACGAATAATTCTAGCCACGCAAGTTTAAGCGTATCCCTACCGAACTGGCAAGTTTTTTTTTCTAATTTTTTGTACTTTGATTTTAATCCGGAAAAATTGACTGCGATTAGAATTATAGTGTGAAAATGTTGACTTGCGGTTCTGGAAACTGAACTTCCTGCAAGTTACCTCATCTTCGTTCAATTATTTGATTGAAATTAAGTCTTGTCGGCAAAAAATAATTCTAGATCTATTTTAAAAGCTCATACCCTATTTTAATTAAATCGCGTTAAATACAACTGTAAAGGAGGAATGAATAAAAGAGTAGAAAAAAATGATCTGCTTAGAGCAGATTTTGGCTTTATTGTGAAAAAGAGAATCATTATACCCATATAAGCAGATATTAGATTTACTGATCGGCAACAGCTGAATTTAACGCAAGCACATACTACAATATTGTAAGCTGGCATAGGAACTCTCTAACGAAAACAATTACTCTTTACTTCAATATTAGTGTCTCTTAAAGCTATACATTTTTGCTCAAATATTTGAAGCAAATAAAAAACTGAAAAGGAATTTCTTGCAAAAATTAACTATTCTTCGATATTCTGAAAGGAAAATTTCTTTATTCCTACTTAAAAGGAATCTCCCAGAGTTGTATATTTTTCGAAATTCGCTCAGCTGGGTAACCAAACTCGTCCTCACAATTTTAAGATCTTCCATACATTTCACGTTGTAAAAGCGACCAAATTGGATCATCCTAAAGCAATAAAGGATTAATCCTACGCAAAATTGTGAAAAATTAGAGTGGAAAAACTTGAGTACAACTTTTCCACGTAAATTGTAAAATTGTAAGATAAATAAAGCAGAAGCGATAAATCAGTAAAAATTGTGACAATAAGGTGCAAATGTCAAAAGAAAGAAAAATTGTTTACTCAATGTAAAAAACACTGTTTTGAATTGATGAAAAAATCGTTGCGATTTACTGTTTGAAGGACGGTTTTTACTTTCGTGTCGCGCCTTCATTCTCCCCCTAGAAGGGGGTGTGTAAAAATTATATTGAGGAAACTGGATCGTAAAATTCGAGGAAGGTTTCCGTTTCCTTTCACTCAGGTCGTGCGAATTTAAAAAGAAAAAGGGATCAAAAATTGTCTTTAAAAATTCGTGAAAAATAGTTGAAACCCGTGATTTATCGAATAATCGGTAAAATGTTTTACTTATGAATTTTTAATTTTTTTCCAATTGATTTCGACGGTAAAACAGCATGTTTGCATTGCGTGGAATATTTTTCGCATTATTTTCCTTACTGTATCTTTACTTACGATTATTACTCTTTATTTATATTTTTTCGGGAGGGGGCAGAGAGAATTCTAACTCTAATATATTCTTCAATTGCATAAATGCATATCCCGCTGATGCATGAAATTTTCATCCAACTTATGTTGAACATACATCCTACTCTCGAGCAGCATATATCTTCTCTAATACGGCGAAAAAGGTCTATAACTTTTCTATATTTTAAGTGTCTGGACAAAACCTACTAAAAATATGTGAAAAAAAGAAAGAAAAAAATGGGTGCTTTTAAACAGGAAAATTAACAGTCTTTGAGGTGGTTTTTGTGAAGTTTAATCCTAAAAAGGTCGATTGAAAATTCCTTTCGGCGTTTTTTACGGAAATTTTAAACAGTTTATCAGTATAATATTCCCTCACCTAAATCGTTGTTATGCACCAAAAATAATGTCGTAATGATCTGCAGAGATTTTGAAACCCATATATTTTAATTCAATTTTCTAAAGGAATCCATTAAGATATTTCTAAATGGACTAAAATGTCAGCAGATTAAGTGTTCAAAGTTTGTACAAATTTAAAATGGAAATTGCAATGTGGTAGAATAGGACTCGCAAAATTTATTTTAATCCGCATAAAAGCGTACTTATTTTGGGTTTCCTGCCATGATTTTTTTTTCCACTTCAATTTTCGAATGTTGACGCACAACGTCAGAATCGGCACCATACATATTAATTTTGTTTGCGGGATTACTAAAAATTAAAAAAAAAAGGTTCACATGCGTAAGGCCTCATTACATTTAAGTCCAGCGCCTCTTCAAAATTTAAACAAACCAATAAAAGAAATTGCAATGATAATTTTGTCTCAACAGCTCTTAAAATTTTGACGCTTAAAAAGAGACAGAAAAATAATTACCTATATTCAGTACATAACTCGAATATCAATTTAGAATCTGCAAATAATTGTTTTTTCCATTGCTGTTTTGCGTCCGCGATGTTTTCAATTCCTAGCAGCGTTTTCGGACTTGATTGTAATGAGGCTCATTTAAAACCACTGACAGACAAGACAAACATAATTTGTAACATGACTCACCAAAAAAGTCCGGTAATCACAGGAACAAACACGTAATTATCCAAGGGTAATCCTCAATTTCATATACTTCCTCCCGAAGGAACCGGAAAAACCCTCCTCAGCACGTAATTTTAGATACAACACTGCACTTTTATAAAAAACACAAAGTAAGTAACTGTAAATCAATACAAAATCACGGAATGAATCTGGTCAGTATATCATATATCATGAGAATACTAAAACCAACTTGCAAAATAAGGTACATGTTACGCATAAAGAAGCTGATGGAGCCGGAATCAGCCAAATCTGCACGCGACAAAACGTCGGTGGACTTTTTTACGATTATCACTTCTGAGTTTCACGGTCGTCCAGCAGTCATGAAGAATCTCGCCTCGGATTAACGGGATTAAATGCATTTGCGCACAAAACACGGACGAAAAAAAGTTGCAAGTTTAAACTTGGACCGAGTAATTCACGGATTGACTAATTGTCAGCTGAACGCACTTTCTCGAAACCAGCCGGCGCCCGTTATAGAAGAAAAAGCGATGACAGCAGACATGATTTACATCGCAAACAACCAAATAGGGTAAAAAATCAGACCGCAGGGAATGCGCCGTTGCAATCGTGCGCGAAGGGGGAAAACCGCGATTTTTTCCTTTACTCAAGCGAAAATATGCACAGTTTTTGCGATCTATAAGAGTCTAAACTGATCCGAAGCACTGTCAATGCCAAAATCTGATCCAACAACGTGCGCTGGATCTCCGACCAGCAAAACACGTGAGCTGTAAATTCTTCCACTGAGCGAAATGTTATAAATTCGCCGAAAATTCACCGGGAGACTCAGTTTTCCGGAATTTATCCGACAATGATACAACAATACGAATAAAATATGGAAGAAACAAAAAGTACACCGCACTTCGACGAAATCAGGAAGTATAGAAATTTCCTCTCGAGAAATCAATAATTACAAAATTACACTAAATTTTTTAAGAGGAGAAAATGTCAATAAAAACCGATTTTTGCGTTTTCAGAAATGTTAATACTACGCACACGCGAGGTAGATCATCGACAGAAAATTCTTGTTCGTCCGATTTAAAATCTATCTTTTCTTAGGAACGTTTTCCTTCGGGAAAATTTTCCTCCGAAAAATTTTCCTCGTGACACGCTGAGCTCTTCACAGATTTCCGCACAAAAAACGGCACATCAAAGGCAGGAAGCGGGATGACACCCCTTGATTAATATAGACAAACACAATTTCTTTGACTGTTCGCGTGGGGGAGGGTAAAAATCCGGAAAATTCAAAAGTGACTCGCGGGGGGTTGTGCCCCCGGAAGTGCTGGCTGTGCGCGACCTTCCGGCTAGTCGGCGGGGGAATTTCGAGTGGTTCCGGGGTCAGGGGCACAGGGCACGGGGCACAGGGCGAAAAAGGCGGAAAAACGGCGTGGGAGCACGCGCTCGACACGTTGGGAGCACGTAGCGTTGGGCGAGCGAGCGGCCGGCGCGACGTCGACGAGCCAAATGAAGCCGAGAGGGCTCCGGACTCGGGCTTCAGCGAGAGGTGGTGGCGACGAGTCGGGACTACTCGGCGCGGCGACGCACACTGGATCGCATCAATCGCCGAGCTTGGACAAAATTTGGAAACTTCAAACGCTTATAACTCCGCTCAAACACAAATTTGAGGTTTTGAAAGCGGTTCCGTTCGTTTCCTCGTGAAATTCCCTTCAAGAAGCACCCCTTAAAGTTTAAAATGTGACAAAATGAACAAAAAAATTTGCAGTTTTAGTTGAAAATTCCATGTCCGACCTCTCTAATTGACTCAATCCATTGTGCGCCGTATGGTCACTCGGATAGGTACGATTTCCAGTGGGCCGATTATTGAAATTGATAGACGAGTAGAATCAAATAAGTTTTGCTCTACCATGTCTGCCAACTTTTTAGCCCTTCAAAATGGAAAAATCTGACATTTTTTTTTTTTAAATTTGTTCAAAATTTTACGCTTAATCAGGTCCCAACATCGCTTTAGGCAGTTTTTGCCATTTAATATCAGAATTTTGGCCCTAAACAGCTGAAATGTCCTGTACCGTAGCCTGTCTGCGACTCAAGTNAGGGGGAAAACCGCGATTTTTTCCTTTACTCAAGCGAAAATATGCACAGTTTTTGCGATCTATAAGAGTCTAAACTGATCCGAAGCACTGTCAATGCCAAAATCTGATCCAACAATGTGCGCTGGATCTCCGACCAGCAAAACACGTGAGCTGAAAATTCTTCCACGGAGCGAAATGTTATAAATTCGCCGAAAATTCACCAGGAGACTCAGTTTTCCGGAATTTATCCGACAATGATACAACAATACGAACAAAATATGGAAGAAACAAAAAGTACACCGCACTTCGAAGAAATCAGGAAGTATAGAAATTTCCTCTCTAGGAATCAATAATTACAAAATTCCACTAAATTTTTTAAGAGGAAAAAATGTCAATAAAAACCGATTTTCGCGTTTTCAGAAATGTTAAGACTATGCACACGCGAGGTAGATCATCGACAGAAAATTCTTGTTCGTCCGATTTAAAATCTATCTTTTTTTAGGAACGTTTTCCTTCGGGAAAATTTTCCTCCGAAAAATTTTCCTCGTGACACGCTGAGATCTTCACAGATTTCCGCACAAAAAACGGCACATCAAAGGCAGGAAGCGGTATAACACCCCTTGATTAATATAGACAAACACAATTTCTTTGACTGTTCGCGTGGGGGAGGGTAAAAATCCGGAAAATTCAAAAGTGACTCGCGGGGGGGTTGTGCCCCCGGAAGTGCTGGCTGTGCGCGACCTTCCCGCTAGTCGGCGGGGGGATTTCGAGTGGTTCCGGGGTCAGGGGCACAGGGCACGGGGCACAGGGCGAAAAAGGCGGAAAAACGGCGTGGGAGCACGCGCTCAACACGTTGGGAGCACGTTTGGGCGAGCGAGCGGCCGGCGCGACGTCGACGAGCCAAATGAAGCCGAGAGGGCTCCGGACTCGGGCTTCAGCGAGAGGTGGTGGCGACGAGTCGGGACTACTCGGCGCGGCGACGCACACTGGATCGCATCAATCGCTGAGCTTGGACAAAATTTGGAAACTTCAAACGCTTATAACTCCGCTCAAACACAAATTTGAGGTTTCGAAAGTGGTTCCATTCGTTTCCTCGTGAAATTTCCTTCAAGAAGCACCCCTTAAAGTTTAAAATGTGACAAAATTAACATAAAAATTTTCAGATTTAGTTGAAAATTCCATGTCCGACCTATCTAATTGACTCAATCCATTGTGCGCCGTATGGTCACTCGGATAAGTACGGTTGCCAGTGGGCCGATTATTGAAATTGATAGACATAGCTTTAGACAACGAAGACAAGAGGTATATGGAAGGGGACATGGGATTCTATTGGTGGAGGCGGGTGGTTGCAATGGACAAATGAGGTAGGTAATAGAATAACTAACGGCAACTCATGAGAGACCCTTTCGTTAGTCCATTATTTACTTCCTTAGTCGATAGGAACTACCCAACAATTTCATGTTCGAACTCTCTGATTGACTCGATCCACCGTGCGACGACGCGACGGGTCGCCTCTTGTCCGGACCCATACTCGATCGCTCTTGTCGTCCACTTGCAGCTTGTAGCGTGTAGCCCGCGTGCCACTGTCTTTTTTCGGGGCGAGGGGTGGAACGCAACATTTCACAAGACACCACTTGAAAATTCTGGTGGAAAGCAGGCCACAAAAAACGTAACGCGGTTTTGTCCGAATTCTCGCCACTACCCACCCACAGGTTGGCAAAGTTTCATGAAAAATAAAATCTTGAAATTTCACGTGAAATATTTCATGAAATTTCAGAAATTTTTGGAAAATACCGGTACCTTTTCATGTTTCGCAGAATGTAACAATCGTGACTTTTTCCTGTTTTTAGGTATTTGAATGCGGGTTGCATACTCTAGCCCCTAGAAGATATAAAATATTTCACCGCCTCGTGAAATTTCATGAAATATTTCACTGTTTCCAACTTGTCATTTCTTTCTCACGTTTCATGCCTCCATGTCCACCCCTTGTAACAACGCTGGTCTAGTACAACATTTGCCTCAACACCCCCAATTTTTCACCCAAGAAAATATAAACTCGAAAGAAGTTTACATTTGTATGGCCTCCTAAATTCGTCGCTTCCCGGACATAGGATAACGCATTCTAAGGTTGCAAAATTAACTCAAAAACAATTCGAATTTTCACAAGAATTAACTTGCGTAATTTTAGTTGAAAATTGTCCAATTTCGTATGGGATCAAATGAAAAATCAATTGAAATTTCAGCTAGAAATTTCCAAGATTCTCTTGGTAATAAACAACTGGCAGGAGGTAATTTTGTAACATTGAAATTTAGTTACGTTCTTTCGTAGGTAAAACGACGAATTGGTAAGGATAATGCATTAAATTCAAATGTGGTTGGAAAAATAAAGATCTGTAGCTCTAAATTTAGAAATATAAGTTATCGAGGAAAGGGAAGTTGAGAAGAAATGTTGTGAAAAATACAAGTGAAAAAATGAAAAGGGTAAAGGTAACGTCGACACATGCCATTTCGCCTTCAATTTTTAATGTAGGCAACTTGGGAACCCACGAGGTCGAATAGTGGTATCACCGTAAATGCGCATCTGGAACACACAAAAAATGCCCTCTCGCCGAACGTCAAGATGGGATTCTGAGCGAATCGGCAGTTCGCCTACAATTTTTGATGTAGGCAACACGAGCTCACCCGCGGTCGAATAGTGGTATCACTGTGGTTGAATACGTGGTGCGAATGCATCGTGAAATGCCACACTTATTGCTATTAAACTTGGAATACATATGGACGCGAAGAAGTCACTTTAATGCTTCATTAGCTCGCCTACAATTTAAATTTTAAATAGAAACTCTCAACAGCCGAATAGTTGGATCTCCGAAAGACAACCCCCACAGAAAATTATGAGAATCCACCCTCTATAGCTTTACTCATCATCAGATATTATAATGTAATTTCAGCTTGAACCTTCAACATTTTAATCGTTGTACTTTGATGGGTCTTTTTGATGCCACTATACCCATATGGAATCGTGATTTTTCCCTCAAATCTAATTACAGCTTGAACCTTCAACATTTTAATCGTTGTACTTTGATGGGTCTTTTTGATGCCACTATACCCATATGGAATCGTGATTTTTCCCTCAAATCTAATTACAGTATTCTTCACTCGGCCTGGTCTAAATTATTTAAAAGGGACTTCCTTTCCCGACCAAATAGAAGCCTTCCAAGTCTCATAGTTATTGAATACGTCCCTATAGGTCTCCTCTACAGGTGATAGATTTAGATTTAGTTTCTCTATAAAAAATCTGTACCACAAAAAGACTGCGAGAACTACGGTGCGCACCACGCACCACGCACCATTGGATACGTGCGAGGTGACTGGTTAAGATTTCGTCTTTATACGCAATAACAGTACCGGTAGTTGACCTTATTCATTTAAATTTAATCTCAGTCAGTTTATTTGGCGAAATATTTTAATTACCCTCCTATTTTTTCTCTCCTTTGCGTGACCTTGTTTTTTTTTTCAGTCGTCTGCATACCGATCACTCAACAAGATTTACTGGAATCGTTGACGTCACAAGATGACGCCATGAGAATTCGTCGACAACTCGGAAGTAGACAGTAAAATTGCTCGGGGATTTATCTGAGAATTATTTTAGAAAGAGGAAGGATAATTGTAAGGCTAGCATCATATTATACACTATTGTTAAAACACTTCTGTATCCAAGGAAAATCCAACAGCAAATCACTATGGTCAGGTGAGAAGTTGATCTTCAGCTGTGCGCGAGAAAGGTTTGTCTTTTTAAGATCTAAGCTCATATTTACACACCGGCATTCGTTGATTTTATATTGAATACGTAGAGGGAAATTATCGGTCCATCATAAAATCTAAGAATTTCAATACAATAGCGCTCATTATTGCAAGCTCGTCTGAATTTGTTTTCCAATCGATGTCATTCGATAACGATTGAACAATCCAGACGCTGGTCAGGGAATTAACGGAGGATTCACTTCCAGGATTTTTGATGCAGCGTCATGCAGTTTCCCGACACTCGC